GTAGAAGGTTTTCAAGATCCGTAAACAAGCACGTTCTGCGAACTCTTTTAACAACTCCCCGCTGGGATTTCAAGAGGTGATGCCATATTTACCCACTGTGTGGTCTCCGGTCTGTTTGTTGCCTGCTTTGGCATTAAAGTCGCCCATCAGTATAGTATATTTTGTCTTTACTTTAATAAATAGTGACTCTGCGTCATCGTAGAAACGTTCAACCAAATAGTCATCATGGTTCGATGTAGGCGCGTAAGCCTGTACCACCTTCCTCTTGTTTTTTTTTTTGTTAAACTTAATTATGATACTTGCTACCCTCTTACTGATGCCGTAATATCCCTCTATGTTTCCAGCGATAATATAGTGTATAAGAAACCCACCACTATTTATCTTCTCTCAACTAATCAATAATTACCGCACCTAAACACCGCGCGATTTCATCTGGATGCCAGCTGGAAAAATAATAGGAATAATTCAATCCACTTGGCATGGTCACGTGCCAAACAGTGTGCGCCGTATAACGCTTACTGCTTCATATCGTGCATGTATATCGATGTAGTATTGTGGGTAGAAACTGGAACACATCACGTGGAACACATCACGCGTATATCATACCCTCAATCGTCGACCATTAGTTCTTAACACATCACGTGGCAGACGCCTGCTTGTGACATGCTGTCAAGTTTACTTCGCAGAGCTCTCATTTTACAACTATAACAGACAAAATGAAGAATTTCGGTGAATAAAAAAAATGAGCGAGACAAAGGCAGTTTGTGTGACCTTAAGTCTCCAAAAATCCTGCCATGTAATGGCGTTGCATAGAGGAAACAGGCGCTTATAATTGCGATGGGCAAGAAGGTAGAGGTAAAATGTAGACAGACAGGGAGGTTGTTTCGAAAACATAAAAGTGAGAAAATAAAACAGAGAAAAAAGCTGCGCTCGTGTGAAGATAGGCAGAGGCGGAACGCCAGAGCCTGAAGCTACTTGGAAGCAGTCGAAGCGAGGAAACGGATACGTATACTCCCGAGCCACGGGCTCGGGTGTCCTGCGGGAAAATTGCCTTTTCGGCACCGAAACGAGCCGAGGCTGGAAAGAGGAGAGGCAAGCCTTGGACTGCCGAGGCCGATTCGCTCCCGTGGCCCCTCTGCGCGGACACTGTAAGCCGGTGGCAGTCTTCGGAAACTTGGTACGTCGCCACGCGATCGAGGAAGAAGGGTGGCGACACCGGCCGACGTCGTCGCACTGTACAGGCTGGCGCGTGCCGAACCGCCCAATAAGAGAAACGAACGACCCGCCACGAAGCTGTGCGAGGAAAGCAGCGGAGAAAAAGAGCAGCAGAAAGAGAGAGAGGGTGTTGAAGAAATGAGAAAAGGAGGTGGCGAGAGATGCGTCCGATGCGTGTGGCGACACTGAGGGCAGCAGCCAGCGTGAAGATTGAGTAGGGAGAGAGGTGATGGCTGGGGGGGGGAAGGGGAGACTTGTACGGATGGACAAGAAGACGGGGCCCCAGCGTGGCATCTAATTCGGCTCCGAGGAATTCGCGAGATTAAAGGGACAACAGTTTGTTTAGGCGGCAGGCAAGCGTAATCGTATACCAGCGTGGCAGGATGCTTCTGCTGGTGTCGTAGACTTTGTTGTCAGTCTAGTCGAGCTCCCTCTGAGTTTCCGACCTGTTTTCTCACTTTCCTTCTTTCTTTCTTTCTTTCTTTCTTTTTTCTTTCTTTCTTTTTTCTTTCTTTCTTTTTCTTTCTTTTCTTTTTTTCTTTATTTTCGTCTCTCATAATCATATGGTGGTTTTAGGATGTTAAACCCCACATATTCTTTATTTCTTTCTTCTTTCTTCGTTTCTTTCTTTCTTTCTTTCTTTCTTTCTTTCTTTTTCCTTTTTTCTTTCCTTATTCTTTTCTTTCTTTCTTTTTTTTTTCTTTATTTGCGTCTCTCATAATCATATGGTGGTTTTAGGATGTTAAACCCCACATATTCTTTATTTCTTTCTTCTTTCTTCCTTTCTTTCTTTCTTTCTTTTTCCTTTTTTTCTTTCCTTATTCTTTTCTTTCTTTCTTTTTTTCTTTATTTGCGTCTCTCATAATCATATGGTGGTTTTAGGACGTTAAACCCCACATATTATTCCTTTCTTTCTTCTTTTTTCCTTTCTTTCTTTCTTTCTATTTTACTTCGTGCACAGCGTCTGAGGGACAGCTGTGGCCACTTTCGCGTGGACGCCACGTCCTGTAAGACAAACTAAAGTCCACGCGAATCTATTTTGCTTGCCTCCGCCACTCCTTAGACGTTTACCTTTTCTTTAGAGTAGAATGAATGAATGGCGGTGTAGAAAACAATTTTCGGCAAAAGACTGATGGCATTGCATCGACACTGCATAAAAACGAGAGGAAACAAGACAAGAAATTATCAAGAACATTAGACAGCACGCAAAAAAACATAATTTGGACAACAATTACAAACTCTCTGTCTGACGTTCGACAGAAATATGGTGTTTTTTTTTTTTTGCTAAGGCACGTTGCCGGGCTAGTTGGTTGAGATTCATCATTTTCACTGGTATAGCGCACCACGACAAGGACACACACAAAGGAGAGATGCGCGACAAGGACACACACACAACTGTGCGCTGTGTGTGTGTGCATCTCTCCTTTGTGTGTGTCCTTGTCGTGGTGTGCTATACCAGTGAAAATGATGATTTCTTTGTTCAGGTTATAGTGAGAAGTTGAATAGAAATTTCCCTGGACGTTAGCTGACACGCCACGTTAACGTAGTGGATATTTTACACTTTTTTTTATAACGTCTCTTTTCTTTCATCTTTTATCTCCCTTACCCCCTTCCCCAGTACAGGGTAGCCAGCCGGTCTGAGAACTGGCTAACCTCCCTTTCCTTCCTCATTTATTTCTCCCCCTCCTCCTTACACTGCAGCTGTAACATTTCGTAATTTTTTATGCCTCACAACCGAACAGACTCGCGACACACCACGTGCGCACACGCATCTCCTATCACGCACTACCTTGGTCGTAAACGTATAGCTGTGATCTCGCAGTGAAGTACGTGTGCACACGCTATACCCTTCGACAGGTGTTATCTTCGCACTAAGTCTCTGCCTCGACAGCACGAGGTAAAGAGTGATAAATGCATATGTCTGTCACCTCGAGCTGAAGACGAGCTATTAGATGCTCTTTTCATTTTCTAGAGCTCCTGGGATAAGCTTTCGAACATCCGCAGAAGCGTCGCCGTGCTTTATTTCCAGCCACATGAGAGGACGACATACGTAGCTAAAGCGTTGTCATGCTTCGAATAAGCACACCTCCCTAACTGCCATACACGATGAAGATGGGGTGGAGTTGGGATTTCGCTTCCAGCCTATCGCAGCCGCCTCTCGAGTGGTTGTGTATGCAAAGTGGGTACAACCCATCGCGTAATATGGACTGCTAAGATGACCCAATGTAATTGTAAGTGGGACAAACTTCCCTTTTAGATGTTATTAAGAAAGGTCCTTGACTATTGAAGCATCAAACGCAGCATAAATGTTTCTGCATTACCTTCAATTAGGTCTTATTGCCTACAACTGGCCAACCACAGGCAATGCTAGACAACATTTGTTAATACATAGCTTGAATCGGCAAGTGCTGATATCATGCGGCCTTCCATAGTGGACTTCAAACAAACAAGAATAACTGTTTTAACAAAACTTCGTCAGGGTTTATAGTTGGCACATATTCCTGAAGCAAAAGTAACAGCACAGACACAAAAGACGCCCCACATAGAGAAGGCACGAGACGCACGAGCGCTGACTAATAATTGGCTTATTCATTCGGTTTCAAATGCCCGCTATGAGCGATCAGAAAAGATCGTCATCATAAACGGGCAAACGCTCTCTTCAACCTTTCTCGCACAACACGTGCACCAGTATGCCTGGCATGGGATCTTGTGAATCTGGTGGACGAGAGAACGAATACGTAGAGAGATAAACAACGAGAAAGAAAGAAAGAAAAAGTGGACCCACGTACCTGTGAATCAACGTTATCCGAAGCATGCGGAGGGAAGGTGACCGTCTTGCATTTTTTATTATGCAACACGTCATTAAAGGACGCTAAATGTATGTACAAATGTTGCACGCACAGACATATGTTGAAGTTTTGGAGATGTTTATACAATTAGTTGTTCGCGCTTGCGAACGATGTCAACTGAAACATGCGTATTGGCAACACCAGAAGCTGATATGTAGCGCTGATGCTCGCCAAGATGCTAACCCTGGGCACTACTACATAAATAAACTTCAGCGCATGGCAGCCCACCACAATTGACGTTAACCCGACGTGACGGCTGTATCAAAGGAGTACATATATCATGTTTAAAAATTTGGGTAGGCACTGCAACCACTATTGGTATTTAACGAATATTAGCGTCTATTTGAAAAGTAGTTCCGAGACCTGGCGTAGGTCTTTGGTAGAATGATTGACTGCCACGCAGAGTGCTTGGGTTCGATTCCTGCTGGGACCCTGACGTTTATTTACAATCGTCGGGGGGGGGGGGGGGGGGGGGGTCAACGTATTTGGTGAGGCGAGATTCAAACCCACGTACCCAGGATGCGAAGGCTAGAGAAATAGAAGAGGGGGCAAAGGCAAAAAGAGAGAGAAAGAAATTGAAAGAGATAAAATTGAAAGAGGAAGCAAGCGAGCCTGAAAGAAAAAGTGATTGACAGAAAAAGAAAAATGAATAAACGAGGAAAAAAATAGGTAAAAAAGCAGTGAAAAGAAACAACAGGGAAAGTAGAGGTGAAGAAAGAGAATAAGTAAAAATAAATGAAGCAGGCCACTCAGCTCCGCTCAGCCTTCATACCTGACACTGCTAGTGCTCAGCTACACATGACCTTTCTTTTTCGCATTGCACCTACTAGTGCTCACGCCCCGAAAAACAGAAATACGGGCTCAAACGTGAAGTTCGATAAGCCCTCAGAAAATCCCGCTTTATAACCGTTAGCGGTAACACCGATTAGCACTCACTTGATGAAGGCCAAGTCGTCAGGGCTCAGGTGCTCAAGCTCCATTGCTATTTCGTCGGACTGAAAGAGACAAGTCATCGGCGGGATCAATATCAATCATTTCGCGCGTATTCACATTCCTTTCCGGCAAACGTAATCATGCGCGCCCTGTCTCAATGATGTTTCGATGAGCAATCAGGAGCTGCATTCAAGACTGACAACGCTTTGGTGTAGAGTGTCCACAGGATTAAGCATGTCAATTTAGATGTAAGTAATGTGCGTCCTTCTGTATCTACTACCTTTCGATTGCGCCACATCGGCGTACTAACAGCCCGTTCACTTACATCAGAGCCAACGTCTACCTTATTGGTCACAGCCACCATGACACGACGTTGTAATCTTTAACAATTGCACACACCAGATGCACTTCAAGATTTGTCGTCCAAAGGAAGGCAAGAAAGCGAAAGAAAGTACAGGAGATGTTAATTGTAGTAATTGTGATGTGAATGAGAAGAAAGTATACTGGACGAAAAGATTGCTTTCCGCTGACATGGACCGAACCTGCGACCTTCGAATAAGACGTCCGATGCCTAATCTTTTCGTTCGCTTTACTTTATTTACAATTGCATCAGGACTATTAAAAGCGACATCCCCTATAGCTGCCTCGGTTTTTTGTGTGCGTTGGCTTCTTCCCATTAATTCTTGTGCGTAAGAAAGAAAAACGAGCCCATAAGTTTTGATTTTGCATCTCGTTCTGTGAGCACTACGCGTCTCTTCACTGGACTCAACAAGAGATGACTTCAGAAATTACACACGCAAGCGTTGGGTTTCTTTCTTTGTACACACGTGTATTGTACCAAGTTTCTAGGTCATGAACCACGCGAAGAGCGATTTTGGCAGTATTTAAGGTCACCTCACGAAGTACAAGAACGGTAAGACGCTACAATAGTTTTTTGTGTAAAGGTTCTTTCTGTCACAGTGTTAAAAATAAGTTGTGCACATACGGCCGCAAGTCCGCGATTTTCCACACAAACGCGAAACATGTGTGAACACAACTACAACGCCTTTCTTGACGACTCAGAATCAATAAACCCAATTCCTTAAAGGTATTTTTGCGTGCGGGACGGCACTTACGGTAGAATTAAGTTAATCTGTAGAGGCCGGAATTTGTAAGTCATTTTTCCAATATCAAAAAAGAGTGTTACTTCTTAATACAACAAGCAAAAAAATCCAGAGCCAGTTCAAGCCCAATCAAAAGCTGTAAGAACCGAAAAGCATTGATACACCTGTGTTTCCCTTGTGTTTAGTTTTTGTTTATTTGCCTACTTTCGTAGGCAAATATCTCTGCTTTTTTTTTTTTTTAGTGCGATTGCGGGACATTTCAAATCCAGTTTGTTCATTTTTTCGTGATTATCTGATTTGTTTCACCATTGTGTAATTTCGGTTGCAAGGAATCCTTTCTACTGCTCTTCTAGTCGCTGCTCCGGTAGCAGTACATACAACTCTTGGCATTGGCGTTTCACTGTCACTTCGCTGACTCGGACAAACCAACTAGCCCTCCTGCGACACGGACGCCACTCAGGTTCCCGGGCAATCAACTCCCGTCAATCCAAGCGCGCAACCTGCTCAGCTCATATGTTGATAACGGTATGTGACGCTGACGCGAGACATAGGACCTCATGACAACATGAGAATAGAGACGATGACAGGGCTGGCCCTTAAACTGCTCCACCACTGCGATTGCCGGGAATTCAGGCTATTAACCTAGAGCATCTGACTGCAGGTGAAAAAAAACACATTTTAATGCACCATACTGAAATCAATATCCCATAGTTTTTGGTTCAATTAGGTCAACCAAGCATTCAGAAGTAACCATACTCACCACTATGGGCAGCGTGCTGCCCAGTGTCCGCGCGCAGAAGCCCGGGTCGTAAAGTCGTCCGTGACGAATCGCGGAGAGGGCCGATCGCACCACGCATTGGCTGTACACGTGGCGCCAGCGGTAGCCCTGCTCCCAGAGGCGCTCGAGTTCGGACTCGAGCAGCTTGGCGCCGCTCACGTCCAGATCGGGACGCCACAGGTCGGCCGCACCCAGGCGGGACTCGCTTTCGCAGCGGCCGAACAGACCATCTGCACAGAGCACAACAGCCTCAGTGGCTTGTTTTACGTCATCGGGACATATTGTTACGGAGTCGTGGCGCTGCCGAAGACCGGAGACTGTGTGCTGAAATCAAACTCTTTATTTGGGCGAACATGTGCCCGGTAAACGGGAAGTCGGATTACAGTAGCAGTCTTGCACTGATAGCGGCGAACGGAGCGTCGATCAACTGACAAGCGGCATAGCGTGGCGCCACTCATAAACTTGCCATCGAACTTTCTAGCGTTATCGCTAGCGGCGACGTGCATTCCAGAATAGTAGAGAGCTTTAGAATAGCGCACCACGAGCCCTTGCGGTGCGGTCGCTGCCACTGCGCATGCGTCGTAACGCGAGTCGGCGTTCGCGTTCGCGGACCACATGCGAAAAATCCGAAATTGCGTGCGGTAATGGCGGCCCGCATGTGGTCCGCAAGCACTGGTTTCGAGGCTACGGTGTCGCTGCGATCGTGCGCTGCGGTTAGCAGCCGGGCAAACGCTATTCTGAAAGTTGTATGGCGCCCGCAACGCCCGCAGCGCTTTCAAACGGTATTCTAAAACTCCCTAATGTGAAATGTTCACGTTGCGGGAGTAATCTTAACAAAATGCAGTCCTGAAGTTTCTAGAACACTGTAGGCGCGATTTGCGCTGAGCATTGCGCACAGCGTAATGGGGTGATAAGAAAACTTGAGGAAGGAAGGTGGCAATATTATATTCACCAAGCAGATAAAGCGTGAAAAAGCACACTACACTACAAATGAGCAGGCGAAAGTCCTGTCCTCAGACGTGCAGCCTCCCCTGTCCAGGAAGCCATGGACCCCAACCACCAGTCCACACTGTCCACTAGTAAAAAAACTGGTGCTTTAGATCAAGTGGGGCTGGCTGGACAATTTTTGTAAAAACGCTCGTTGAGCCTTCGTGAATGCTCAACGGACGTTCTCCATAGACGTGGTGGACTGTGCATCATGCATCCGGCCGCCGCAATATAACGCGAAAGCAATAAACCGACCTCATACAATAAGATTTCCTTCTTTATTTTTGAAGACGATAGTTTTTCTTGGAGACCTTCAACGCAAAAATTTCGGTCTGTTTGTCCACCCTTAACGGTAGCCTAAATGGCACCAAAGTGACCAAACGATACTCCAAACGGCCGACCCCATCCGCAGCGCCCACCAATATTGCTCAAGGTTCAGCGTTCATACTTGTGCGATTGTCAATTAAAAATCAATTATTGCGCATATCTGAGGCACCATAACAACACGTCAATATTATGTATGTCTATTTTTTACTAGAAAAGGCATACATAAGTTATCTTAAGGATCGTAGTCTTTATAACGCTGCGCTGGCCATGCAACGTTTGCACGAAACGGCAAGTGTTTCCAACGCTTTGTTAAGACGACACGGGGATGGCACCTACCCGTCGCCTTGCGTTCTAAACCTTATCACCTCAGAGACGGGCGTGCACGGCACACGCTCCATTTTCAAGGATAATTGCCAGATAGCGCTCATGTCTCACGTGTGACGTGACTTGATGCACTCGTCCGCCTCCGCTGCACGCTCGAGGCACTCTAGCGCAGCGCCTCCAGAATACCATTCACCGATTTTCTTGTGCAGAGCATCAAATAAACGTTTTGTTCACTCTCTCTAGATGCAAGACTATCGTCTTTCGACGACATTTGCGGTGTAACATGCAGAAAGGAGGCTAATTTTTTTTTCGGCAATATTTCAAATGTATGTAAAATCCACATACCACAGGATAACCAGTTACACGATCCAGAAGGTGCCCCAACACATTTCATTTTGAATAAATCTCATCCACTCGCTTGCTGCTGCCAACAAGCACGCATTGCCAATATGGAAGCTTCGTGGTTACCTGATTTTGTGGAGCGACCGCCCCACAAACGCACCTGTCCCACGTTCGAATCGAGACAGAAAAAACTTTTTGTGACACGCGAACTTTTCTTTCAAAGAAACTTGTATATACTTCCTCGTAACTTCAGGAACGACAAAGGATCTTCATGAACTTTCCCTTATATTGCAGGCTTAAATTATCCCTTTGATCCCTTTGCTCTATACTCAGGTAGCGAATTCACTCTGAGTGGACTGATTTTCTGTGTGCGTGTGTGTCGGTGTTTTTCTCTTATTAATTTTTTAACTCTCCCTTTCACTTTCAACACCCTATTCCCCAACCCCAGTGTAGGGTAGCATACCGGATACTAGCATCTGGTTAACCTCCCTGCCTTCGTTTTTTCTCGTTTCTCTCTCTCTCTCTACACGTGCATATCATTGGTTCCCCTGTCGTTCCTTCTGCTTATGCTCGACTTCTGACCGAAATGTGGCGGGATCAAATCCCCACCACTGAAGTCACCTTTCGATGGAGCCAAAATGCTGACGCACGTGGGCTTAGATAGAGGTGCGCATTAAATAACCACACGCAGCTGATATTTCTGACGCCCTCAACCGCATTATCTCTCCTAATCATAACGCAGTTTTGGGACGAAATATCCCAACAATCAGACTACTTCTCCGTTGCTACACCTATTACTGAGTAACCCACCGTAGCGACTCCTTCTACCAAGTGTAAACCTACTGGTAATACTGTCTGCGTTTCCTTTCGACTGCGAGGGAACACCGGTACAAATACGGCAGCATGTTAACCTTCCGACGACGCATTGAAATTACGTCACGCTTCTGCAGAACCCTGTTTTAAATGTCTGTGCGACTGACGTGGACACCGGAAACCGGCCTAAGGTTGCAGAACACAGTCCCTCGGCGACCGACGCAGGACAATCCAGCTTATGTATCCTCGTATCCGGCGCTCCAATTAGGCCAAGCCCGGATAGAGACAGCGGCGTCCCGCCGAGAATGCCGCTAACACAATGCATGGAGGTCATCGAATGTCTGCGTATACAATATTCTCGGCACAGCGTCTCTCTCAAGTTCCGCGCACCGCTGCTATAGCGTTGAATACAACTAACTTACCAGAGAGAGAATAGGCGAAGTTTTGGCCAAACAAGCCCGACAACAGTACGCTTTTCTTTAAAGCGTCTTTACGCAGTGTCTCGTGTCCTGTGTAGGCATTACGGTGGTACGTTTACCGGATGGCATAACTTCGACTTGGAGCCGACCGGTGAAGTGGACGTCCTGGGATTGAAGTGCCTGAGAAGATAAGATTTACAGCGTGCAAAGGCGTGAAGAGGAGTTGTAAAAATGTGTTTCGCATCTATGGCACGCAACTACGCGGTCCGGGGCGTCGACAGCGAGCGCTGAAGTACGCGGGCCTGCATACACCTCCGTAGAGACAGAAGCGAGAAAATACAGTACAGCACGGATGTCGTAATGGGAACTCCTCGCGCCTCGCTTCTTAAGCCGGGTGGCGACAGCGAGAGAGAAAGAGGAAGGAGGGAGGGGGGTAAGCACTGGCACGAAGCAGGTTTTGCGAATCGTAGAAATTTCTCGCGAATCCTGCAGCGTCGGCCAGTGTGCGGGCTTAATTACTGCGCTCGACTAACAATGGGACCATGCGAGGCTTAATCCGCCCTGATGCATCGGGGTCTCCTTTCCCACCGATGTCTGCACTGCGCCTTCTGCAGCCCAAGCCACGCACCACCTCTCCGGCGCTGGCCCGGACAAACTCCGATCGCAGAAGCTTGGCCGCCGGGTCCCGTGCTCGCCTATATATACCAGTTCGGCCACTGCGATGCGCCCGTGTTTTCCGGAGGCGTGGATTTATTAATTAGCTCCCCGGGACCAGCATGACCAACTGAAGCTTCACCTACCATCTCTGTCCGATGGACGCACTCCAGTCGATACTTTATGTGCGCAGACCCTCGCACCCCCCTCCTCCTAAAGAAAAGGATAAATACACGTGACTTTCTCTTGCAAAATGCACAAATGCGTTTAGCAATGTACAACGTACGGGTGATTATTACGAACCGAAGCACTCGAAAGCGACCATATGCATACCCTGTGAGGCTAGGAATTAAATTTGGATACGCAACCTGTAAAATAGGTGAGGCTAGGCAAAACACGTGCATTACGTAGGCTCCCTTAAAAATTTCTCCGTGTCCGTACGTCATAGGCTAACAAAAACTAGAAATCCATTCGTGGCCAAGGAACGTATACATATTATGAGAGACGCGTTAGCGCTCCACGCAAGGTGCTTTAATAAGAACTCCTGTGTAGCTCCTCCCATGATCATTGCCAGACCAGTTAAAGCAACGACTTTAGCTCAGTCTATTGCCATTTATATAATCTGGCATTGAATCATGTGGTCACTAACATTCTTCAGCTGCCTTTATACAACGTTTCAGTCACACCATCCCTACCTTTCTTTTCTATCCCTACTTTTCTATCCCCTTTCCCCTTCCACAGCGCAAGGTAGAAATCCAAACATCATCTTCTGGTTCACCTTTTTGCCTTCCACTTAAATTCTCTTTCTCTTTCTCGATGCCAACGCGTCATTCACTTTCGTTATAATTAAGAAGAACGCATCACTAAAAGTTATTGGCAAAATGATCGCTGACCATCTAGTTATTTTCGATAATTTTTTTAAACATGACGTAGACACAGCTTATGCTTCACCCTCTCTCTAAGAGTACCTTAATCCCTCATGACGAAAAAACGAGGGAAAGAATCGCCACCGCGGAGAAGCTGTTGAGTCAAAGTGTTGATTCTTTGTTTGCATTGAAACACACAAAAAAAAACCTTCGCAACACAAAGCCATCATGACGCCAACCCAAACTGAAGATTGCGTCGCCCACTCAGCATGCAATAAACTTATTGAGTATCTATCTATCTATCTATCTATCTATCTATCTATCTATCTATCTATCTATCTATCTATCTATCTATCTATCTATCTATCTATTTATCTATCTATCTATCTATCTATCTATACAGCTTCGTGCTCTTGTGGCCAATAATCGATGTGATGTACACGATATATGGCATGAAAATGACATGAGTAAATAACGAAAAAAATGGCATAC